CTTCCTTCCTTCCTTCCTTCCTTCCTTCCTTCCTTCCTTCCTTCCTTCCTTCCTTCCTTCCTTCCTTCCTCCCCCTATTTGTAATGCCCAAACTGGAAGGGAGGAATGGGGAACTTAGGACTGGCTTTCCACATGGAGGAATAAACCTCCATGTTGTGGGAGAAATAAAGGACCTACATATCTCCTCGCATTAATGAGGGAAAAAAGATAAAAAGCCTATCAGATGCTGGATGTTCTGAATCTTAGGGCAGCCTCTCTGAAGGACTGTCACTAACCCCCATCCCTCCTCCTGTCAAATCCTAAGGATCCTCACACAGGAAACTCAGAGCACTTCATCAAATCACATCCAACTTTTGGTGACAGAGACCCAACCCATGTCCTCTGGTGACTGAGACCCAGTGGTATCCTTTGCCCTAAATCCTTCTTTTGTCATTGTCCCTGATAACAAGTATCTCATTTTAGGCCTTGAGCTTATCCCTATAGAAGATAAAATGATCCATAATGGAAGCCTATTGCTTTATGCATGTAAGTCTACCAGCCTGCAAGACATTTTGTGAAAATCATCTTATCTCTAGGGATACTGAGACAGACTAGGATAGGAACATGACAAAAATCCTGGGTTTCCAGTAATTACAACAGTAAGCCTACCTTATTGTAAATCCGTAGGTCTGAACACAGCCTTTTTCTTTCCATACACCTCAAAATAGTTATGGATAGCCTACTATTTGCTTAGCACTGTTATAAGCACCATAAGAGACACCTGAGTTGTTTCCCCTCTGGAGACCATGCAGACCAGAACCATTAAGTGTAGGCCTCCATCATTCCCCACTCTCTCCTTTATTGATTACGTATTCTGATGCCAACAAGGATCACATTCCAAATAAGGTCTTTGCTTAGTCAAAACCTATAAACAATTTATGTGCCTTCTGTTTGTTCCTTTATCCTGGACTTAGCACAGTCCGATATATATAAAGCATTTACTAAATGCTTGTTGACTGGGACTTCTGTGGCTCTCTGCTCATTAGTAAAGCTGAATTCATAGACATTCTGAGGTCAAAGAAGACTCCATAGCTTTCACTGGATTAGCTGTCTGCTCCACCAATTTCTTTGTGTTGTCAGGTTAATATTCATGGGTCATGATCTTATCCCTTTCCCCAGAGGAGTAATAGAAATTTCCTACTAATATCTATTGATAATAGAAAAATGCCCTTTATATACAGTAATTGATGAAACACCTATAGCCCCATACATATACACATAACATAACAATAATAACAAGGTCATAAACACTCCTGGAATTAAGAAAATTGACTGATTGGTTTTGCTGTCTAGCTTTTAGTCAGTTTGTCAATAAGCATTTATTAACTGCCTATTGTTTTTCAAGCAGTATGCTAGGCACTGTAGACACAAAGACACACTAGACAGATCAATAGATCAATAGGTATATTAAGTAGATTAGATAGATAGATAGATAGATAGACAGACAGAAGACAGATAGATACAAATAAACAGACTAGATAGCTAGATGGATGGATGGATGGATGGATGGATAGAGAGAGAGAGATACAGACAGCTGGATGGATAGGCAGATAGATGGATAGACAGACAGTAGATAGATACATGAATGAATGAATGAATGAATAGATAAACAAAACAATAAACAAAAAGATGAGTGAATAAATAATAATTTTTCTCTCAAGTTGCTCAAAGTCTAATTGAGGAAGAATAACATGCAAACAACTCTGTATAAGCAACATATATATATGTATATATGCACATATATATACACATAAGATAGATTAGACATAATTTTAGAAGGAAGGCACTAGGATTAAAGAGGATGGAAAGACCAATGTCATACCCATGATTACAGCAAAAAAGTGAGTGAAGTGTAACATTGTGGGCCAACAGGAATGCAGAAAGATAGTGGAAAAGAAGGGGCTTGTTATTTGTCATTCAACCAAGATTTAGCAAATCTTGATAGTATGTAAGGTAGATTGGTTTAGAAAATAAAGAGCCAAATTAAATTGACCCTCCTTAATGAGTCAGAATGAAAAATAAAAATCAAAGTGAAATTTAGTTGGACAGAACACTTTTGACCAGAAGACCAAAAAATTATGTGCATTCATAAAGCTATATCTGTATCAATCAAATCAAGCATTTTCTAGCAGCCCTATCAATAATTACAAAACCATTAGCTTAGGCCTCTGAGGGCAATGGTTACTCAGAAAGTCACCAACCACTTGTTTGAAAAGGATTGTTCAAAAATCCCAATACTTTGAACATTTTGTGCCTGAAACTTCTTCTTCTGAAATTCTCCTTTCTGCTTTTAGTTCACTGAGGTAGAAGTTGAAAGACCAAAAAGTAGAATTTTCAAAGTTCTCGTAACTTGTTGAAAGAATTCAGAGGATCTTCTTATCTATCCAGAAAGCAATGGAAGAGTTAAAGCTGGAATTAAGGAACTTAGAGTCACCAAAGCCTAGAAATTCAATTGATTCTAAAAGAGAATAAAGTGCATGAGAATAAAATCCTATGTTTATCCTCAAAGGCAGAACTAAAAGACCTCTTTGACATTCTTCCTGCTCCAAGAAATCATGCCAGCAAAAAGAATTGCAGTGATTGGAGCTAGGGTCAGTGGACTGGGTGCCATTAAAGTCTGTCTGGAAGAAGGACTGGAACCCACTTGCTTTGAAGGAAGTCATGACATTGGAGGACTCTGGAGATATGAAGTAAGTTCAAATTTTCTGCTGATCTTGGTGATAGTGGGAGTCATGATATGAATCGGGGCAGAGAATATTCACAGCAAAGACATCATGAATCCTCAAAAGTATCAAAATGGTAGATAAAGTTGGCACCAATTTTTCGTCAGCTAGGACAACAGCCAGACAGTCCTAGAGCCATAGACAGTTAGAAGGGAACTTGGAAATCATCTAGTACCCACCATTTTACGAATGAGGAATTTAAGACCCAAAGAGGGTTAGTGACTTGCTTATTAAAATAGCAGAGTCAAACTGCTAAATCCAGCATCCTTTCTAGGATGCTACTGTGCCTTTAGTACTGGATCATAAAATTAAGAAAAAGAATTCTTTAAATGTTTGTGCTGTTTTGAAAATTCTAAGCCTAACCCTCTCTCTAGGTCTATACTCTAGTAGGTCAGAGTTGGGAGCTCATGTGGAAGAAACTCATTCTACCAATACAAATCGGCAACTTCAATTAATGGTCTTAGAGAGATGCCTGGGCTACTGTGAAGTGAGAGTCACACTGCCAGTACAGGTCAGAGGAGAGATTCCAAATTAGGCTATACTGATTCCAAGGCTAAGCCACTATCCACTGGGTCGCCCACATTCTCCGGTATAGCATTATTCCTTAAGACACATTTCTAATTCGGGGGAAATGGAACCAAAATCTCAAATAAGTTAAGAGGATTAATAACATATTTTTTCAATTGCTTCCCCTAAGGAATCTTTTCTTTTAGCAATAAACCTGGAAGCCTCACTTTTTGCCATATCTGAAATGTTCTTCGTTAGGCATAGACCTCGTTTTTCTTATTGATACACTAAAGTCCTTTGTTATCTGTAGGAAAACTATGAACCTGGAAGGCCTTACAGTGTCTACAAGTCAAGGACTTGCATCTCTTCCAAGGAGATGACAGCCTATAGTGATTATCCTTTTCCTGATCATTACCCCAATTCCTTCCATAATTCCAAAATTATGAAGTATCTTTGGCTGTATGTCAAGCACTTTGATCTTCTGAAGTACGTCCACTTCCTGGTAAGTAAGGAAAGAGTAACCAGATTTCAGGCAGATTGCTTATGGATAAAGTCCATGCAATTAAGTAGAAAGAGATGCCCAAGTTCAGTCTATCCTTGAAAAACATCTGATTTTCTGCAAAGCATTAAAGCTGAGACTCTCCCATTAGCATCTTACAAAGCATGCAAAGGGTTTTCTTCTACTTTTCTTCAAGAAAAAGATAGTCATATAGTTAGAATTTTAGACAGAAAGATTGAGTTCAAATTCATTGTTCTCTCAATGTGGATTAACAACAAACCAGGCACTATTTTTTTGTTCAGGGAAACTAGTTTCCAGTAGAGAGTGCAGTTACCAGAGCCTCATGTAGGCAATGAAACTTTTCAGGTTACAAAAACTGTGATCTACTAGATTGAGAACTAGCATTCTGCAAAAGGATGGAAGCTAAAGATGGAGGGCAAAATGACCTGTTTTTGTCCATTTGTTCCCAGCCAAAGGTGTGCAGTGTGAGGAAGCACTCTGATTTCTCTTCCACTGGCCAATGGGATGTTGTAGTAGATGCCAATGGGAAGCAGGAATCCTATGTCTTTGATGCCATCGTGGTTTGCAGTGGCTATTATAATGATCCCTATTTTCCATTAGAGACCTTTCCAGGTAAGTAACATGGAAGGACAGGGAAAATTATAATATTTCAAGAGAAATATACTATATTGTCAAAAGAATGGCCAAGAAATTAGTCAGTTTTTCTTGTTGGTAGCTTAAAATAATGAAATAATACTAGTTCTCAACAACCCTAAAGTCAGCATATAATTCAGGAGTGACTGACAAGTGTTTGAGGCCCCCTTGCTTAGCTCTGAAGCTAGAGATTATTCAGAAGAGCATTGGCTTTTAGAAATAACCATCAATAACTGACTCCAAATACTGTGTTCTCTTGACTCTGCCACTCAACTGCACATTGGGTGGGTCCTCTGTGGTGATTTTATGGGAAGATATAGTCAAAAGGTCAGGATGGGTAGGCATGGATAGGCTGTAATCATCAGAGGGAATGATCACCCTGATGAGATTATAGATCCACTTAAATGTGTTTCTGAAAAGTAATACCTACCTAACTTTTCCCCTAACCCCTTAATATTTAAGGACGAGATTGAAAAGGAAGACGTGAACAAAACTGCCAATATGCTTAGACTTAATACCTACAGAGCAATGTTTCCCAATCTCCTCCATAGGATTCAGGGAGACAATCCTCCCTTAAAAGATTGATACATAGATAGCCATACCTAAAGATGCAATCCTTATCTATTCTAAAAAAAAAAATAAGAGTTGGAGTTTTTATGTATTGTTGAATTATAACTGTTTTTGCCTTCAAATTGGTGTTTCAACTTCTATGATTCTTCTTAGAATCTTCTTGGCAAAGCTGATGGTTCATCATTATCCGAAGTTCCAGGAAAAGTCATTTTCAAGTTCATTAGTACGTAGGTATGGTCTTCCTCCAATGTTACTTTATAGTATGAAAATGGACTCCAAAGACAACTGAAACACAGCATAGCAACCCATTCATCAAATGCTTTCTTTGGCATGCCAATGGAAATCACTGATATTAGAAACCTTGTGTTGAGATTTTTCTAAATGTTAAGTAATGTGTGGGTTGAAAAGGAGAGAATTTTTTGAAGTTTTTTTTAAAGAAATATTTACATTTTGTTTGGATACAAGCTCTGTCACTGAGCTTTGACAATGGATAGGCTGACTATTTCTTGCTTCTTTTCTGAATGAATGAATGTTTATTAAACCTATTTTCTGTGCCAAGCACTATGATAAGCACTGGGGATACATATGCAAAAAATGAAACAGCCCTTGCTGTAAAGGAAACTACATTCTAATAGGGAGAGATAGGATGATATAGGACTCTGATGACTAGGAGGGGGACTACAGAGTTAATCCATAGAAGAGTCAGTTGGCATGCCCTGTCCAGAAGCAATATTATTGATTTGATTTTTGAGCCCAAAGCAAGAATAAATCTGGATATATGTATATATGTTGGGGGTTGTGGAGGGAAGACTGTTGCAGTGGTAGGGCAGATAGCAAGATGGCCTGGATGGATGGCTAGATGGGATATAGAGCATGCTCTGATGTTGGGCCAGCTAGGTACAATAGAGTGGGTAAATTATACTCAGTCACCAATCAAGACAGCTCATTCCCAGGGCAAGGCTCCCAAAGTCAAGTGGACTAATTTCCCCAAGGACTGGGAACCTGGCTTTTGGATGTTTGGTCCAAAGATGGTTACTGTTCTAAGTGGAGAGAAGTGGGGCAATAGTGACGGGAAAGATGGCAAAATGGCTTGAGTGGACATCTGGTTGAAATGTGAAGTTAAGTGGACACAAAATTGCATGGGTAATCAAAAACCAACAAGAAGTTCTATTTAAACTTTTAGTTAAGAAAGACATTTTGGAAAACACATAGAAGCAACTAGGTGGCACAGTGAATAAAGTGTTGGACTGGGAGTCAGGTAGTATGGAGTTCAAATCTTGCTTCAGAGACTTAGTAATTGTGTGATCCTGGGCAAGCCACTTAACTTCTCTGTGAATCCATTTCTTCATCTGTAAAATAAGGATATAATCATGCCTTCCAGGATGGCTGTGAGGACAAAGTTAGTAATATGCATTTATGAAACAAACCTTTGCAGACCATAACACTGTCTAAATGCTAGCTATTTAAAGAAGAGAAAATACATACCAAGAGATTACTAAAGATAAAACCCTTCTGATTCCCCTGTTGAGGTCAGGTGCTAAGCATCTTGGTTTTCTTTCCTCACAAGCATCACAAAGTTCAAAGGCCTTTATTTTCACAGTTGAAATTATAAAAGTCCTGAAAAATTTTTAGGGAAGAAAATCCTTGTGGTCGGCATTGGAAATTCTGGAGCAGATGTGGCCAGTGAGCTCAGTTGTGCGGCTAAACAGGTTTGGCTTTAAAAAATTACTCTTTGCTTCAGAACAACCCACCCATCACCATCTCTGATATGCAAAGTATATAGAACCTTAGCAGAGGAAACTTCTATCCATTACTAAGTAATTAATGTTACCCCAGTTTCAGCTGCTACTTCACCTGTTTCCTTGGGTAAGATTTGGTCAGCATGAGATAGGATTCCCAACAACTTAAAGTAATATTAACCATCTATAGAATTTTTCTTCCCTACTTTATTTGGAGAAGAGAAATACAGTAAGAATAATATGGTGTGTAAGTTTTTTTTTTGAGATTTACTATAATAGAATAACATAAGACATGTATTTAACTTGTGTGAATTCAACTACATGTATTTGAGGGTTGAGAAAGAGAAAGAGATAGACAGACAGAGAGATATAAAGAGAGACAGAGATAGAGAGAATACAGCAATTTAAATAATGTACTAGAATAATCCTGAGACAGATAAGAAATTTGAATCTGACCCCCAACTCAATATCATTCTCTTCACCCCCTCAGAGATCACTGTCCACCTCTCAGTTCAATCCCAGGAACCCTAGAGGGCAGATGAAGGGAAAGATGGAAGAAGGTTGGGAACAGGATAAGTAGAGCATCTCATGCTCAACCCTGACTAGCACCCCAACCAAACTACTCAACCCCTAGAGCTAATCCTTATCCTAAAGCTAATAGGATGCCAATTTCCCTTATCTACTATACTTTATGAATGATTAAACAGAATTAAGAAAGTGTCATTTTGACTATGATGATTTTTGCCCTCATCCCGACTTTAGAACCTAACTTATGTGTAAGATGTGACTCTATATCTTGACATCAGGAAACAATTGGTTAACTACGTATAGTCTCACTACCTACTACATAGAGGAAAGAGTTTTTAAAAGAACATTGACTTAGAAGCATAAAGATGAGAAGACATTGCTTATAATTATAATAGTTCTAATATGACCTATTTGAATAAGTTATTAGGGAACAAACATCTATTAAGCACCTACTATAAGCCAGGAACTGTGCTAGTGCTTTAAAAATATTGTCTCGTTTTGTTATTAGTGTTGAAAATTTAAAAACAGAGACAGGAAAATACATCCATTCAGATCGTCAACATTTCCCATAGAAATTTCACAATATGAAGCAATAAGCAATGAGTAGGCCAAAAGAATTCAGACCATCTCAGCCAGTATACATAATCTCCTAATCAAAAAGAGAAACATGTTAGGCAAGGGAAGCAATAGTTTACAAAATGAATTTATTTACAAAATGTTAGGGAGGAGTATGGTGGAAGATAATTGAGTCACATTGTGTTACAAAATAATGCAAGAATGGGATAGAGGAAAAGGAGTTTGAAGAAAGCTAGTCATAACATACAATTGAGCCAGATCATCTCAAGAAAATGTGTAGATGAAACTAGAAGGAGGAAAACAAATTGGCAAAATGGAACCAATTCAATGGCGTTTCTATAATCTGATCATCTTTGATCATCAGTCACAGTAGAACCAATGCATTTGGATTCAGACAGCTTTCCCAATTTTCCATTGTAGATCATATCTTCTCAGTTTCACAATTTCCTAAAACATACGAAGTAGTTATTTTTGTTTATTATTTTAAAAGCATTAGACTCAGTAGAAAGACAAAATAACCTTAAAATTTTTCTTCCAACAAAGTGTCTCCCAGGAATGTAATTTTATATGAGATTCCTTGATAGATATAAACATACAATTTGCCCTTTTCAATCATATTCTAATTATCAATATCATGTAAGGCCTTATATGGGGAGACACATATTTACTGAAGATTATTGCCCATGTCCTGGGAGATGTTAATACAGTGTTCAGATTGAAACCAACTTCCCTATAAATGAAGAGGTCATTCATATGCTTCTTTTTTTGTGGACAACATTGTGCTGATTTTATCAAACTCTGAAACACTGCAGGGCCTTCCCTTTTTTAAATTTATTTTTATTCTTAACAAGCAACAAATAAAACGAGTGTTTCCAAATAATCAGTAGAAAAGAAAAAGAGGATTGTACATGAAACTATAGAGCTACATTATGTGCAGTTGGATTTTCTTTTTCTAAAGTATTTAAAATAACTTGTAATTTTCAAAGCTGTCCTGCTTGTCTCTGCATCTTTTTGGCCTTCTTTCTGTTTTCTTATACATATTTTTTAAAGATACTTCAATGACACTCTTTTGTTTTCTTTTTTTTCTTTCTCAATAAAATCCATCGATGTCCATCATAGAGTGACTTCATAATACTTATAGAAAAAACAAATGGGTAAAGAATATCAATTGTCCAGGCTATATGTCTTTGGTTAGGCATCCCATTGAGTTAGCCTACCAACACATGTATCTTAGGCAATAGTAAAGGACAATGAACTGGACCCAGAACTGAAAGTATGAGATTGGGTTGGATTCCATTGGAGAATTACAAATAATTCCAAAGCACCTCTTTGAATCCCAAATCCATCTTTTTTAAACACCAATATTCTCTAGGAGATACTATATGGCTGTGAATCATAAAACACTACTATGCATGAAGAGTCAAAGCTTCATGTGTCCCAAAAGGCAAAGGAGATAGATGCATGGTATACATAAGTGGACTGTCACATTTGATAAATATGTGCCACTATATATGTATGTACTTACATATGTGTATATATAAACATATGTATGTATAGTTTTATATATAGTGTATATATCATACAATATCATATAATCACAGGATACATAGATATGTATATATAATATAACATATAATTATATATTATATAGAGATATATAACATGACACTATATAATCATATATTATAACACATTATTCAGCAATGATGATTTACATGCAAGAGGTAACACAAAAAGATATAATTCACCAAATATATGTTCAAAAAGAAGAAGTGGACTCCTTATTTAAGAAGAGCAAATGCTAATGGATGAAAATGCCAAGGGATACATTGGCTTGCATGAAATGTTCAAGACCTGGAGGAAGGCATCCAGTACATTAGGTAGATCCTCAATGAGGGATCCATGGGAAGACAAGGACAAGGGTTGCATGGGATGAGAAAATACAGATAAGAAAATACAGATGTAATTTGCCCCCCGTTGAAGGGAAATCCCCACAGCAATTAGATCAAGGATCCATTAAAAGTACCTGCAAACCTTTTGGCTAGGGGGGGCTAGGAATACAAAAATAAATAAAAATCTTTCTTCTCAGGAAGCTTCTAACCTAACAGGGATAATCACTGAGTAGAGTCACATGTTATGATTTTTCTTAGACTGGAGGAATAGTTTTCCAATCATCGCTTACTCTTGTTGGAGCTACCCCTAGGGGCAGTTAGGTGGCCCAGCATATGGAGTGCTGAATCTGGAGTCAGGAAATTTTAGTCATTTTCAGTTGTACCATACTCTTCCTGACCCCTTTTGGGGTTTTCTTGGCAAAGATACTGGAGTGATTTACCATTTCCTTCTCCAGCTCATTTTTACAGATAAAAAAACTGAAGCAAACAGGGTTAAGTGACTTGCCCAAGGTCACATAGCTAATAAATGTATAAGGCCAGATTTGAACTCAGGTCTTCCTGACTCCAGGCCCAGAGCTCAATCTACTGTGCCACCTAGTTGACCCGAGGAGGCAGGAATACCTAAGTTCAAATCCAGCCTTATATAATTATACTACCTCAGTTTCTTCATTCATAAAATGAGAATAATAATAGCACCTCCCTACTAGGGCTGTTGTGAGGATAAAATGAGATAATATTTTGAAATGTGAGTTATCATCACTATTATTATTATTTTGTTATTATTATTATTATTAAAATGGGGGATAGGGACAAACTAAGGAAATGTACAGTGTTCAAATAAATTTTTCTGAAAGGAGATGGTGGGAGACCTGAGAATGAAGATTTGAGATAAGAACTATGGCTCTCTATCACCTGAATAAACTGTCTGAAATGGTAATATAACATTGAAACAAAAATATTTTGTAACCACATCTCTGTCTTCTAGGTTTTCCTCAGCACAAGGAGAGGAGCATGGATATGGAACTGTGTTTGGGATAATGGAAATCCCATGGACACTGTACTCTTCACTCGTTTTCATAGCATCATCAATAGAATGCTAACAGCTTCCATGATCAATAAGTGGGCAGAGAATAAATTGAATGCACTGTTTAACCATGATGTTTATGGTCTACAGCCTAAACATAGGTATGATTGAAAAGTTGTTTTGTTTTGTTCTTTTAAAGATTTCCCTTTGGTTACTGGAGTCAGCAAGTCCATTAACAACCTTAGAGGTAGATTAAAACTATACATTCTACCAGGGATCATGGAGTGAGAACATTTTGCTAATTTTACAGTCACCTATATTGTTTGGGGATGCACACCATATGTTCTTCTCTCATGAGTCCCTAGGCTGTCACACTTAATTGCTTCCCAAAAAGGAGAAATTAATTTCTTAGAAGATGGTGCCTATTGCCTAGATCACAAGTGTTCTCTCCATGTTATCAAATAACTTAGAAGTATATTTAGGAGAAATAAAAGTACCTACTACTTTACACTTAGGAAAGTTGCTTCTCAGGGAAAAAAAATGGTGTGGGCTAGAAATAGTTATTGATTAATTGAAGAATCACAGAATCTCAAAGTTAAAGGGAAAATACAGTAGATACATCTATTATCGATTTATACTAGAAACTATTAGTAGATATAATAAATACAACCAGCATCTAGTAACCCATACTTGAAACAGAATACCCTGTAAAATACAACCATCTAGATAGTCTTTAAAGCACTCTAGTGAGAAACCAGAAACTTCCCAGCTCAAACCATTCCATTTTTTGATAGCTTTAAATATTAAGAAGTTTTCCCCTCTATCTAGCCCAAACTTGTCTCTACAATATCCAACCCTGGCTTCCAGTTTTTCCCTTTCAGGCCTAATTTTTGACTTTTTTAATTAAAAAAAAAAAGCTTTTTCAAATCCATAAATATTACATTCATAATGGAAACAATAATATAGCTAGATCTCAATTAGTATAAAAAGGATACACAGGAGTGGGAGAAACTTGAGACTGAAAGATTCATCAGCAGGCTATTGAAAATAGTCCAAGCATGAATTAAGGAGGACCTAAACCAATGTGATGACAGTGTCAGAGGAGAGAAGGAGGTTTAGATGAGAAATGTTACAAAAGTAGACTCACTGGGACTTTGTAACAGATCAGGTACTGGGATTGTGAGAGGGAGGAATTGGGGATGATGCCTATGTTGCCAACCTGGGTGACTGAGAAGATGGTCGTGCCCTCAACAGTAGTAGGAAAATTAGGAAAAGGAAAGGTTTGGGGGAGGGCAATATATGTTTAGTTTGGACATAGTAAGTTTAAGATATCTATGAAATGTCTGATTTGAGATATCCAAAAGGCAGATGGACATATGATACTGGAGGCCAGGAGAGAGGTTAGGAGTAGATTTTTTTTCTTCTTTGCTACCATTTATATAGTATTTTAAGGTTTGCAAAGCACTTGACAAATATTATCTCATTTAATCTCTACAATAACCCTGGGAGATAGGTGCTTTTATCATCCTCATTTTATAGATGAGGAAACTGAGGTTGAGGGAAGTTGATGAGATCATCAAGCAAAAAAGTACAGAGTACAAAAAAGTATAAACAAAGTCTTGAGAGACACCCATAGTAAGTGGGTGTACCCTGGATAAAGGTTCAGCAAAATAATTGAGAAGGAACAGTCAAACAGGTTGGAGGGGAACCACAGGTTTGGCCCAGTTTCAAGATTATAAAATTCTTTGACTGAACAAATTGTCAAAATGAAACAGGAATTGTCAGATTTACGGAGAACAAAAGAATTTATGACCAAACATGAGATAGAGAACATTATGAAATGCAAAATGGATAATTCTGATTATATTGAATTGAAAAGTTTTTGCACAAAAAAAGCCAATGCAACCAAGATTAGGATGGAAGCAGAAAACTGGGAAAGAATTTTTACAACCAGTGTCTCTGATAAGGGACTCATTTCTAAAATATATAGAGAACTAAGTCAAATTTATAAGAATACAAATCATTCCCCAATTGATAAATGGTCAAAAGATATGAACAGGCAGTTTTCATATGAAGAAATTAAAGGATCTATAGTCATATGAAAAAATGCTCTAAATCACTATTGATTAGAGAAATGCAAATCAAAATGACTCTGAGGCACCACATCACACCTATCAGATTGGCCAACATGACAAAACAGGAAAATGATAAATGTTGGAGAAGATATGGGAAAATTAGAACACTAATGCATTGTTGGTGGAGGTGTGAACTGACCCAACCATTTTGGAGAGCAATTTGGAACTATGCCCAAAGGGCTATAAAAATGTGTATACCCTTTGACCCAACAATAGCATTTCTGGCTGTACCCCAAAGAGATCATAAAAATGGGAAAAGAAACCACATGTACAAAAATATTTATAGTAGCTCTTTCTGTGGTGGCAAAGAATTGGAAATTGAGAGGATGCTCATCAATTGGGGAATGGCTGAACAAGTTGTGGTATATGAATGTAATGGAATACTATTATACTATAAGAAATGATGAGCAGGTGGACTTCAGGAAAACCTGTAAAGATTTGTATGGACTGATGCTGAGTGAAGTGAGCAGAACCAGGAGAATGTTGTACACAATAACGGCCACGTTGTGCAATGACTAACTTCGATAGACTTAGCACTTCTCAGCAATGCAAGGATCTCAAAGACACTCATGATAGAAAATGCTATCCACATCCAGAGAAAGAACTATGGAGTTTGAATGCAGATTGAAGCATACTATTTGCTGTTTTTTTTCTTCTGTTTTGTTTTGTTTTCTCTTTCTTGCAGTTCCTTCTATTGGTTCTAATTCTTCCTTATAACATGTATAACATGAAAATATGTTTAATAGGAAAGTATATATAGAGCCTATAGCAGATTGCACACTGACTTGGGGACAGAGACAGGGTGGGAGGAGAAAAATTTTAAACTCAAAAATGTATGGAAGTGATTGTTGAAAACTAAAAATAAATTAATAAAAAAATTTAAAAATCTAAAACAATGAAACAGGAATGAAAATATATGTTATTCCTCTTGATTCCCATTGGATACTATCACTACCAATTTTTTTCATATATACACAGATATTATCGTAGAGCTAGCAAATAACCATGTGCCACTGGGTACACCTTTGTGCTACATAGTTCAAGCCTATGGAATCTATTCTCTATGTACAATATAAGCTGAGGAAATGAATTGACTGTACATAGCATTACATGCATGTAGTTATTCTAAGAGTGAAGACCTACTTCCATTCCCTATGTAGGGGCTGAAAAATTGCTAAACAGAATCTGACAAATTATATTTTTTCCTTGAAATTTGTAATTAACTCACCCTCAAAAAGAATGTTTATACTCACTTGCTTGGATTTCCTTCTTTATCCCAAAGGTTTCTGAGCCATCAAGCTACCCTGAGTGATGAGTTGCCCAATCACATCATTACTGGAAGGCTACAAGTAAAACCAAATGTGAAGGAATTCACTAAAAGTGCTGTCATCTTTGAGGATGGTTCTCAAGCACGTATTGATGTTGTTATCTTTGCCACAGGATACACTTTCAATTTCTCTTTCTTAGAAGGCAACTCAGAAGTTCTTGACAGCCAGTGTTCCGTGTTTAAATTTGTATTTCCTCCTCAACTTGAGAAGCCAATGTTAGCTTTAGTTGGCATTGTTCAACCAATCGGAGCTACCCTTACTGTATCAGAACTCCAGAGCCAGTGGGCTACACGTGTATTCAAGGGTGTGTAAAGGGTTGGTTTTTATACACAGACAAAATAGTGAGCCAAATATGTGATGTGAGAAGAGGGTAGGATAGCCATGCCCAAAACATCTTTGATATCAGTTTATCAAAGTGCCCCAAGTTATACCATTAGAGAAATTATTCTAAGGATTTTCACTCTCTAAGACCCCTTAATTAAAATTGAATAACCCTTGGAGAGATAACATTATCAGTTTACTTAATAGTGTCACTGCATCTCTCTTGGAGACAGAATGAGCATTAGAGTATTGCTTGAATTGTTCTAAGGACTATCGAAAGCTATTCATGTTTGGGGTTTGTTGATTTGGTTATTTTGGGGGAGGCTTTTTTTTTCAAAGTGAAGCCAGTGGTGGGCCTCATGACATCACAGGATTCCTTAGAAGTAGATTGCACAATGTTATGTGAACCACTGCTCTTAAAGTTTCAGGGTGAAAAAAAATGACCCTCAGGAGTAAAAGGAGATTCCAGAGTAAAGATTTTACATTCTAGAGATGTGCTGTCCAAATAATGGAAAGATCTTTGGGAGCTAGAGAGTCTTGTCCCAACTCAGAGAACTAACTGTGTACCCTCGAGCAAGCCTCACTTTCATTTTCTGTAGAATAAGAAAACCAAAATATCTGTTCTCCAAAGTCAATTCCAATTCAAAGATTTATTGTTTAAAGAAAATCCAAGTGATCTGCTAGATATTATGAAGAGAGTAGCTTCTCTTCCTGCTTTGACAACTAGAGAAAATCAAACCCACCCTTCATCAAGATTTCCCATGTTAGGGCTTTGGCTTTGAATTTTAGGGAGTCCACCTGTAGACCCAACAATTTCTTCCTAAAAACCATTCTTTCCATTCAGTTTTTTCTTCAGGCAGTCCTGCTCAAATTCTGGATTTTCTTTCCTAGGGCTGAACAAATTGCCTTCAGCAAGTGACATGATGGCTGAAATCAAACAGATATGAGACAAAATTGAAAATCAGTAAGAAACTTGACTGTTGATGAAAGATAATTCAACTTGTTTAGGTTGAAGTATTAACCTGTTAAGTATCATTTATATTTTTTCAGCACAGAATCTGGGTCTAGATCAATGCTTTTTAAACTGTGGGTTACAACCCCATATGAGGTCACAAAAAATTTGGCAACAGTAAAAGGTTTCTGAATGTGCAATGACCCAAAATTAATTAAAAATCAAACATGTAATGAATCCAAGGTGTTTCTGGTAGTACTTGCCCATGTTGCCTCGAGCAACTTCACTGCAGCCTTCGTTCTGAACACAAAGCATGCACACTTTGCACTGCACATGCCCTCAAGCCATGCAACACCAATGAACACTGCCAAAAGACTAAAAGGGGTCACTAGTAAGTTTAAGAAGCCCTGGTTTAAATAATAGTGCTTTGCTCTTCATAGGCACTTAACATATATTTGATGAATCAAATTGAATTGATTTTGACCTTACTTTCAGCATTATCATTGGTTATTTTCTATTGAACATTCAGGGGATTTCTAGTTATCTGGATGTTGTTATTTGCCCCTGTAAAAGGCAAGGCTATGTGCCCATTTCCTGGTCATACTGTATTCTTATGGATGAAGCCTATCAAGGAGGCAATGAAATAATAGTAGGTCTACCCCATTCATTCATCTTATGAAGGACAAAAGAACCAGAGAAATGAGTTGCTTAAATTCTGGGAGTGAGATCAAAATTTCTAATTGGGTTCAATCTTGATGGAGAACAATTCTCAAACATCAGAATAAGGAACAGATTCAGAATTATACTGAATGAGATGGGTCATATTTAGAGTATGTTTTCTACTCTTGAAGAATTTGGCCAACCAATGACTTTGGCCTAAAGGGGAGAGATTCATAGCGATGATGATGATGATGATGATGATGATGATGATGATGATGATGATGATGATGATAATGGTGATATTAAAGGTGATAATAATTATTATTATTATAATGATAATATGATATTCCTATAATTCTTATAATATGATATTCCTATAATTCCTATAATGATAATTCTTATAGTGCTTTAAAGTTTACAAACATTTTACAAATATCTCATATTAATGCTAACAACCCTAGGAGAAAAATGCCTTAATTATTTCCACTTTATAGATGAGGAAAATGAGGCAGAAGTTAAGTGATTTGCCCAGGGTCACACAGCTATTAAGTGTCCTGAGGCCAGATTTAAACTCAGGTCTTCCTGCCTTCAGACCCAGAACTCTATCAACTGTACCACCTAACTGCCTATTTTTTCACTACTTCAATCTTTGTAATTTCAATTCATTGATGGAAGTACGATCTCACCAATCTTTCCTCCAATAATACAGATCATAAGTCATCTCTGCCTGTTCATTCTGTGTGACTATTCTGTGACTCTTAGCAATATTCTCCTGTATATCTGTCATGGGTGGTCCACTCAATGAACTGGGGGTGAACCTTCCTCTAAATCTCTTGGCATTGCATGAAACAAATGGAATATCAAATATATTTCATGCATATATTTCATGGATACAATAAGGAAATCTATTTATGTCATCTATGAAATTAATTTTTCTTGGTAATATTTTAATTATTAAGCTTAGCACTTAGATTTCAGAGCAACTTTATGTAGTGACCACCAATTGCAGGACACAATAAAATGTTCTATAAAATAAGCAAAAAATAAGTGTTTGAAAAAATCTGTCTAAACCTGCCTGCAATTTTCACCTAGCTCTAGTAAAGATAAAGGAGAGAAAATGGTCATTGTGAACAGACACAAAGGACTATACACTCTAAATATAACCAAGTCACCTTAACATCATGCAATTTAGAGTCACCTACAATTGCCTTCATTTATATTAGTTCTTCTTTGAGACCTTCCCAAATAAGCAACACAATGCACTGGGAAATTGTCCTTGGAAGGTACCTTGGATAGAGAATAGATTCAGACTTAGATTTTCTCCTTTTTCCCTTCTGGTTCCAGGTTTCTGAAAAGCCCACGTGATATACGACGAGTTCCTTTCATTGATTACATGGATCAAATTGCCTCTGAAATAAAAGTGAAACCCAACCTCCTGTCACTCTTCCTCTGGGATCCCAAACTGGCCTTTGAAGTTTTCTTTGGTCCTTGCACTCCATACCAGTACCGACTACAGGGACCTGGGAAATGGAATGGGGCCAGGAGAGCCATCCTGACCCAAAGAGAACGCATCATCAAACCCTTGAGGACCCAAGTGATCAGCAATGGTCAACCTCCATTTTATAGGTATTTGTGGCATATAGGTATCTGTGTTAGTACTCTCTTTTTTCTTATTTTTATAATTAAGGTATAATTATTTTATCATCTAGATCAGGGGTTCTTAACCATTTTTGTGTCATTGCCCCCTTTGACAATCTGGTGAAGCCTATAGACCACTTCTCAGGAGAAGGTTATTAAATCCAGAAAATAAATAGGATTACAAAGGAAAGGAATTATATTGAAATTTTAGTTTCAAAAAAAATTTAATTCATGGACCTGAGTTTACAATCTCCTGATCTAGACCAATAATGGTCTCACTCAAGCTTTTCTTTTTCCAGGCTAAGCATCCCCAGTTCCTTTAATTAATTCTCATGTGGCATAAAATTAATCAAAAGAGATATCATCATCTGGCTCTGCTCTTTCTAAAATGTGCCACCCAGGCCTGAACATAATACTTTATACATTTTCTGACCAGGTCACAGTACAACAGGACTCTAAATTCCCTGATTCTAGACACTGTTCCTTTCTTAATGAAGCATAAGATCACATTTGATTTTTTAGAGGGAACCCATTTGTCTATCTATTTCTATATCTCCTTGAGAATATAGCCACAAAAGACAAGAAATTCTGAAGAAGGCATATAGTTAATGGAAAAATAAGTGAAGTAATTTTATGAGGCCCCACCATTGGTTCTATCTTTGAAAGCAAAAATGAGATTGAGTGTGCTGCAAACAATCAATTGATAATTTGAGTTTTTAGTGAAAAGTTCAGCCCAATAAAACCACAATTTCACTGGGACACCTTTTAGCATATAGATTTTATTTGCTGAATGTTAAGTAAGGTCTACTAAAACCTAAAGAAGTTTTTCAAATGAATTGATAATAATTCACACCTCCATCTTTTTCTTGTGAACTTGATTTTAACCCACACATAAATTATAATATTTATCCCTATTTCCCTATAATATCCCTATAATATTTATCCCTAACTTCACAGAACTTCACTCATCCCAATGTTTGAGGCTGTCAAGATCTTTTTGAATCATAATTCTAACAATGAACATGTTGGCTACACACCTTGATTTGTGTCATCTGCAAATGTGACAGGCATGCCATCCATGACGTCATCCAAGTCATTGGAAAAAAATACCTGAGTACTCCACTCCAGTTGTCTTTTAATATCAACATGGGCCCGTTATTCACTTCTCTTTAGGTCAACCAGTTCTGAGTCTATATATAACTTTGCCAACATCTTGTCCACATTTATATATACTTCCAACCAAAATAACCCGAGATATTTTATCAAATATGTTACAAAGAAGTGGTGCTGACTAGGAAAAAAATGTATTTGAATCAAATATCTCTAATAGTCTGCAATCCAAAGTACATGAAGATTTATACAAATATATACAACTAAGAGCTATTCCCCATAGACCTGTGGCCTTACTACATAAATAACCATTTTTCAAACCATCTACATCTATATGAAAATATGATTCAAATTACTAGTAATAAAAGAAAATGAAATTAAGATAATTCTGAGGTTTAGTTCATACTCAGAAAACTGGCAAAGATAAAAATAGACACTGTGACAAGAGCTATGAAAAGACAAATAAACAGATGCACTTTGGTGGGGGAGATATGAATTGGTCTAGCTATTCTAAAAAACAATTTGGAAGTGAAAGTTATTAAACTATTAATATCCTTTGATTCAGTGATCCTTCTACTGTATATAAATTCCAATGGAGATTAGAAACAGAAAAATCATGTGTATGTGTGTATACATGTATAAATATACATACATATATATTTATATGTATGTGCATGTATGTATATAGTCACATTTGCGGTAGCAAAAAAAAAACTGGTATGAAATCAGATATCCGTCAATTGGGGAGTGGCTGAACAAATTGTGTAATATGAATGTAATGAAATACTAATGCACTATAAGAAACAGCAAATATGAGGAATGGAAAAACAAGGGAAACTATCTGAAGTGATGATGAATGAAAAAGAAAAACGCTAGAATAATATACATAATGACTACAATAATTTAATTGAAAACACCACTAAATGACAAATGAAGTCATATTAGATGCAACGACCAATATGGTTCCCAAGGATAGATAATGAAATACACATTTCTTCTCTTGGCTGAGAGAAAGGAAAGAAAAGGTTTACTAATACTGAATGTCACATACACTGACAGACAATGATCACTGTGCTAGATAGTTTCACTCAGTTGTTTTTGTTGTTGTTATGATGGAGGGTATTATGGGGGTATATCATAAAATTACTCAAATGTAAACAACAAAAAGGAATTGATAAAGTCAAAATACATTATTTCCAAGATCTACCCATCTAACAATCCTGTTAAAAAAGATACCAAGTACACCATCTTGGTGTGGGGGAGGGGCGAGATGGGGTGAAAATTTGGAACTCAAAATCTTGTGGAAGTGAATGTAGAAAACTAAAAATAAATAAATTTTTAAAAATAATAAAAAAAGAAAAAAAGATGCTAAGTTTAGTCTGACACGGCCTATTCTTATTTAGGCTATGCTGACTCTCTGTAATCACTACTTTCTGTTCGAGAACATAGGATCATTCCTAGATTTAACCATGGAGAGGATTGGGACTAGGAGAGCCATCTAGTTTAGTCCATTTAGTGTAATTTCCTTGTTTTCAATTGAAGCCCAGAGAGATCCAAAAAAGCTAGAACTAAGTACAAAGAAAGTTAAGCAGCCTCATATTCTATTAATAGCTAGTGAGTACTATTATATTTACAGTTATAAAACTTAAAATGTTTGAATCACAAATATGACTTTATATATTCTTTCCCTCAAAAGACCTGAGACAGTAAAAACACCTTTAATGAGCCAAGTTTTGTATTTTGCAAATCTATCTGAAGTTAAGGAGAGAGTAGACTACTGTCATGGTCTCCACCTCCTCAACACTCATTCACTCCTCAACTCTGTAACTTGGCTTCCACCCCCACTACTCTACTATCATCACAGAATCTCAGAGTTCAAAGGGACCTTGTTCATCCGCACCTAAATAATACTCCTCTCTAAAACATTCACAAGAGGCCATCTAGTCTTTCTTGGAAGACCAATACTAAAAGGAGATCCACTTCATTCTGAAACAGCCAATTCTACTTTTGATTATCTCTCACTGTTAGAAAGTTTTCCCTTACATCAATCCTACATGGATCGCTCTGCAACTTCTACTCACTGCTATGAGTTCTGCCTTCTAGAGTGAAACAAAACAAGTCTAATCCTTTCATATAAAAGTCCTACAGATATTGAAAGGCAATAAGCAAATCCCCTTTGTGGTTTCTCTTCTCTGTGCCAAATATCCCCAGTTGTTTCAACTGGCCCTCATATGACATACTCTCAAAATCTTTCACCATCCTAGATGACTTCCCTTGGGTGTGCTGCAGTTTATCCATATCCTACCAAAGAAGATGTTATACAGAACTCACAAAATATCCTAGACGTGATCTGATGAGGGCAGACTACAATAGGTCCACCATCTCTATTTTTTATTTTTTTTTCAATTGACAAATATTTCTTTTCTCTCCTTCCCACCCACCCCCACTGGAAAAATAAAAGAATAAACAAAATCTTTGTAACAGACATGCATAGCCAATCAAAACAAATTCCCCTATTGGCCATGTTAAAAAAATGTGTGTCTCATTCTGCATCTTGAGTCCATCACCTCTCTCTTTTTCAATGAACTATTACCTCTTGTCCCATAGGAGATACTATGTCTCTCTTAAGGAATCCTAAAATTGCATCAGTCTTTTCGGCTGCCATGTCACCCAAGGAGATCTACTCTCTCAAGTAGGGTGAGAGCCAGTGATGCAAATATGAGCAAGCCCTGGTCCCAAATTTACCTCTTATTTATTTTTATATGTCATATATACTTATTTGTGCACATGCTATCTAAATACCTTGAGGGCAGGGACTATTTCATTTGTATCTTCCTGTCTTCAACATTTAACCCAGTGCCTGGTATATAGTAGATTTGGAGTAGAAGCTTACTGACTGATTAATGTTGGAGACAGGAAGATCAGCTTGACCAAAGCGTAGTGTGGAATATGGGAAATAAAGTTGAAAGACAGGATAGGGAGAGACTATGAGTGGCTTATAATATTAGCCTAAGGAGTTTTTTCAAACCACAGAGGATAACTGAAGATTTTGGATCTGGAGAGTGACATGGGGAAAGTAGTGCTCTAGGAAGATTACTATTTCAGTGGCATGTGAAATGTTTTGGGGTCCAGAAGAGACTGTATATGATCCAAGATAATTCCAAAAGACTGATGATGGAAAATGCTATCCACATCCAGCAAAAGAACTGATGGAGTCTGAATGCAGATTGAAGCATACTGTTTTCACTTTCTTTGTTTTTTTTTTCATTTTTTCCTTTTGTCCTGTTTCTTCTTTCACCATGACTAACGTGTAAATATGTTTTACATGATTGCATACATATCACCTATATCAGATTGCTTGCTATCCTGGGGAGGAGAGAAGGGAGGGGGAAGATATAGAAATTTGGAACTAAAAGTCTTATAAAAATGAATGTTGAAATTTTTACAGCCAGTGTCTTTGGTAAGGGCCTCATTTTTAAAATATATAGAGTACTGAGTCAAATTTATAAGAATACAAGTCATTCCCCAATTGATAAATGGTCAAAGGATACGAACAGGCAGTTTTCAGATGAAGAAACTAAAGCTATCTATATTCACATGAAAAAATGCTAAAAAAAAATTGCTATTGATTAAAGAAATGCACATCAAAATGACTCTGAGGTACCACATCACACCTATCAGATTGACTAACATGACAAAATAGGAAAATGACAACTGTTGGAGAAGATGTGGGAAAATTGGAATACTAATGCATTGTTGATGGAGTTGTGAACTGATCCAACCATTCTGCAGAGCAATTTGCAACTATGCCCAAAGGGCTATAAAATTGTGCATACTCTTTGACCCAGCAATACCACTTCTAGGGCTGTATTCCAAAGACATTAAAAAAAACAGGGAAAGGACCCACATGCATAAAAATATTTATAGCAGCTCTTTTTGTGGTGGCAAAGAATTGGAAACTGATGGGATGCTCATCAATTGGGGAACAGCTGAATAAGTTGTGGTATATGAATGTAATGGAATACTATTGTGCCATAAGAAATGATGAGCAGGCAGACTTCAGAAAAACCTGGAAACACTTGTATGATGCTGAGTGAAATGAGCAGAACCAGGAGAACATTGTACACAGTAATTGTGCGATGACTGACTTTGATAGACTTACCTCTTTTCAGCGATGCAAAAATCTAAGACAACGCCAAAAGACTCATGATGGAAGATGCTATCCACATCCGGAGAAAGAACTATGGAGTCTAAATGCAGATGGAAGCATACTATTTGCTCTCCTATTCTTTTGTTGTTTTGTTTTGTTTCTTCATTCTCATGTTCCTCCTGTTAGTTCTAATTCTTCTTTATATCATGACTAATGTGAAAATATGCTTAATATGAATGTATAAGTGGAGCCTGTATCAGATTACATGCTGTTTTGGGGAGGGGAGAGAAGAGGGAGGGGGAGAAAATTTAAAATTCAAAATGTTATGGAAATGAATGTTGAAAACTAAAAATGAATTATTTTTAAAAATGAAGGTTGAAAATTGTTTTTTCATGTAATTAGAAAAAATAAAATACTGTTTACATAAAAAAGAATATGTAAGTTATGGAAAGACAGCTTTCATTGTGTTAGATTGATTTAAGACTTTACTACAACTCTTATGTCCTCCAGTTGTTCTAGGAACAAATTTTCTAAAACCAAGACTCAACTTTTTATGACAAGGATCTATTTGGCAGTCTGGTGAGTCCCTGCTCAGAATAATCTTTATAAATAGTTGAAGGTAACGCTAAATTTCAGGTAGAAGTTAGTGAAAATAAAGTCATTTTTCCCATTCTCAGACCCTCAGAAACATTTCCACAGATCCCTTGGGAGTCAATGTATCTCAGGTTAAAAACTCCTAATCTTTAAAAAAAAGGAGGAGGAGGAGGAGAAATAGAGGGAATGAGGGAAAAGTAATGGCTTGGACACCTGAGTTAAAAGAAGAGATAAAGATAAGGACAGAGATAGAGCTAGAGATAAAGGTGATGGAGCTAGAGATAGAGTTAGAGATGATAGAGCTAGAGATAGAAATAAAGATGGAGATAAATATGAAATAGAGAATTAGAGATAGAGACAAAGATAGAGATAATAAAGATGGACAGAAATAGATGGTGAGGGATGATAGACATGACAGAGAGAGAGAAAGATGAAGATAGAAATGGAAATAAAGTGGAAAAGAAATACATCAGACCCATATCTTTCTGGAGATATTTTAAGGGTCTAAAACTACGGACTCCTGTTGAATAGGACTTGAATCATCTCTAGGCTGTGTGCCCTCCATGATATGGAGTACAATGCTGTGCAGCTGGAGACTCTGAAACTTTCCCATCTATAAAATATATGCACTCCTTTCATGAGATTCTTGTAAGTTGTTGGAGCATTTTGTAGGTCTCGAAATATCATAAAAAAAACTTTTCACATCTAAGCAAACTGAGGCAAAGCAAGTTTAAAAGGGGTTGTTAGCAAGAGGCACAGTCAAGACTACATCCACATCATTGGTCTCATTTTCCACTGATGATGATTACATTCTTCAAGCACTTTGTGGGCTCTTCAAGTATAATTCATAAATAACGATTGACATTTCTATAGGACCTTCAAGTTTGTAAAGTGCCTTATATGCAAGGTATCTCAAAAGTCTCAGTGAATTTTAAATGTTAATACTTCAGTCTCTCACTTGAACTTTATGACAACTTTGTAAATTAGAGATTATTGATCTTCATTTTACAAATGAGGCAATGGAGGCTCAGAGATGTTTAGCAACTTACCCATGGCCACACTGCAACTAAGTGTCAGAGGTAGGATTCACATTCAGGTGTCTCCTGACTTCAAGTCCAACCCTCTGTTTTTGATATCACACTTCGATCTGTGTCCTTAAATTTCCATTACAGTGTCTTTGTTCTTTAAGGGATGTTAACAAGTTCAAAGACAAGGTTATAAATAAGCACTTATGAAAGCCAGAGGAGCCCATGAAGAGTGTTATATTTTGACCTTGAGCGAAATAGGGGTTTTGGTTTCATTCTTTTGGACATAGCTAATTCTTTTTGGACTAGCTAATTTGCAGTGCAATATGGACATCCAAGCTGCCAGGTCAACACCACTTAATTATGTGATCATGGATGTTGTGAAATCATTCAAATACATTTAATCTTTTTGGTAAACCATGCTGTCATGCTGATGTTCCATTTTCAGAGGATTATACTCATTACTTACCAAGTATTGTCCTTAAGCACCTTGAGAACTGAGAGGTTCTGTGGCAGGAAGCAGGGCATGCCAAGGATTGAAGCTTCTTTATCACTTTTTCCAAGGAATTCAATGAAATCAGGAGCATCTGAAAGAATATTATCATTACCTCCATTAGATGCTAAAGAAAAAAGAGGATAATGTCAGTGGGACAAAGATAACAGAAAAGGAAATGAAAAGGAAGAGATGTTCATCGATCAACAAAGCAGTGGTAAGGTTTAGAGTGCAGCATCAATTGAAATTCAAAAAGCAGAAAAACAAAACTAACAAACCAACCCTGTGTGGAGTAGTTCTCCAGAGCTATCCTGAACTGGGATGTCCTTCAGAAATTGTTTGTCTTAGGATTTTTTAAATACAAAAATAATGCTTTTTTCAAAATGTAAAAAATAAAAAAGCCAAAAAGGAGGCATAGTCCAGATGTGCTTGTCAGACATCTTCATCTGGAAAGTTCCCTTATGGCATAGAAGACTACATGGAAAATAGTATAAGTCACCCATACTCTTTAGGCTTCCAGTTTTCAGAATTTGACTACTTTTATGTAATTATAGCCTGGGATCTCTTAACCTGAATCCTTCCAGCGAGGGGAATTTAAATCCCAAATTTGGGTTAGCCCAGAGTCAGACCCTGGGTCCTATCTGACCTCTAGGTAAAAGAAATTCATAAAACTCATCAATCTATTGGACAATTTGTATCATAAAAAGAATTTGGTAGGACTCCTTCTTCACTTTTTTTCCCAAATAGTTTATATAGTATTGGAATTAGTTGTTCTTTAAAGGTTTGATAGAATTCATCTGTAAATTCATCTGGCCCTGGAGATTTTTTCTTAGGGAGTTCATTGATATCTTTTTTCAATTTCTTTTTCTGAAATAGGGTTATTTAAGTAATTTATTTCCTCTTCTGTTAATCTGGGCAATTTATATTTTTGTAAATATTCATCCATTTCACTAAGATTATCAAATTTATTAGCATACAATTGGGCAAAATAGCTCCTAATTATTGTTTTAATTTCCTCTTCATTGGTGGTGAATTCACCCTTTTCATTTTGATGCTGGTAATTTGGTTTTTTCTTTCTTTTTTAATCAAATTAACCAAGGCTTTATCTATTTTATTAGCTTTTTCATAAAACCAGCTCTTAGTTTTTATTAGTTTAATAGTTTTCTTAATTTCAATTTTATTAATCTCTCCTTTGGTTTTGAAATTTTCTTATTTGGTATTTAGTTGGAAATTTTTAATTTGTTCTTTTCCTAGCTTTTTTAGTTGCATGCCCAATTCATTGATCTCTTCTTTCTCTATTTTATTCATGTAAGCATTTAGAGATATAAAACTTCCCCTAAGAACCACTTTCACTGCATCTCATAAATTTTGGTATGTTGTCTCATTATTGTCATTCTCTTGGATGAAGTTATTGATTGCTTCTATGATTTGTTATTTGACCCACTCATTCTTTAGGATTAGGTTATTTAGTTTCCAATTAATTTTTAGTCTATCTTTCCATGGCCCTTTATTATATATAATTTTTATTGCATCGTGATCTGAAAAGGATGCATTTAATATTTCTGCCTTTCTGCATTGAATTGTTGCCCAATCTATTGCCCAAGTGGCTCAACATTAAATCAGCCTTGTGACTGATACCTCTCTCAATATCTATCCTGCTTCTAGCATCAATATAACTCTCCTCAAATTTTGTATCTCAGGCCCAGTAAGGTCCCTGTCTGGTTCTATTCTCCCTCCTGCTGTAGCATACATAACTTATATACAATTTCTCCTCTCCTTAACTGTTACTGGGGCTCTCCCTTGTTTTTAATCAGAAAGGGAGCTTCATCCTGAACCTTAGATCCTTTGAATGGGGCCTTATTATGTACTATGAAATTTCTCTGATTCCAGTCACCAGATTGCTACATCTCTGCCACTTAATTTCCTTGGCTTCCTTCAATCCCTTCTTCTGCAGGAAAACCTTCCCTATCCAACTTACAATGCTTTATATTTAACATTACCCTCATATACTCTCTCTATATATATGTAGATATAGATAGATATAGATATATAGATAATACATGTGTATTACACATTTATATCTTCCATTCTTGTCCTTCATTCTCAAAGAGGGCCAAAATGACATCACAATGTCCAGGTCAATGTATAGGTGTTTGATTGTAGCTGATCAGACCAATATGAGCCCAGAAACCTCTATCACAGTTTGGGCACACAATACATCTAGACATTTACATGTTGTCTTTCCCATCAAAATATTCACTTCTTGAGAACAGGAACTGTGTTTCACCTTTCTTATATCTCCAATACTTAGTACAACGTTTTGCACATAGTAAGCATTTAATAAATTCCTTATTCATTCATTCGTTCACTGACTGAAATACCTTACCTAAATCCAGACTACTATGTCTATGGCATTCCTCTGATTTACCAATCCAGTAACACTATAGGAAAAGAAAATAATGTTAGGCTATCATGGTTTGCTTTTAATAAACTTAATCTGATTCCTACTAATTACCACTTTCCTTTATAAATGCTCATATGCCATCCACTAAGTAATCCTTTCCAGAATTCTATTAGGGATGGACATCAAGTTCAGGGGTCTATGTTTTCTGGAAATGTGAAACTGGTAGTACTCATCAGGAGATTAGCAATGGCCTCTGACAGCTCTTCTGACTTTTCTGTAATTTAAAAATGAGAAACAAAAGTTAGAAACAAAAGTAATAGTCCAAAGTTCTCTTTTCCCAAACATAGAAATTGTATAGTATTTTCTCTAGCCCTTCCATTATGCATAGAACAGTTCATCAGAAAAGTAGACTGAAATATTTTATGCAAAATCTTTATCTCCTTCTCCTCTTGGGAAAATATGAGAATAAAGAAATTTATCATTATTGTAATCTAGTAATAAACAAATAAACTGAAGGTGCTTTTAGACTATTAAAAATGTTATAGTACATTTGAAGGATGTGTGGGAACTGTAATGTTTGGAGGACAGAGGAGGGTGTAAATTTGGAATATGGATTCTAAGTTACAAGGGATTTCAGAGGTCATTTAGTCCAACATCATAATATTACAGATGAAGAAACTCAGGCCCAAAAAGTTTAAATGATTTGCCCAAAGATGGCACAAGTAAGTTCTAGTCAGAATTTAAAACCAAGTTCATTGGTTTCTTATTTACGTTGCATGCCTAAGAACCTCTAAGAAGAAGTTCTAGTCAGAATTTAAAACCAAGTTCATTGGTTTCTTGTTTATGTTGCATGCCTAGGAACCTCTAAGAAGAAAAGGTCATCACTAGAGCATAGGTTCTAGGACTACAACAACACATCATCGTCATCATCATCATTGTCGTCTTCATATTATTATTATTGTTGCTGTTGCTGTTGTTGTTATTATTATTATATTTCTACAGAATCAAAGAAGACCTAGATTCACGTCTTGCCTCCCCTACCAGCTGTGTGACCCTTAGCAAGTACTTAACCTCTCAGTACTCTAGGCAATAAGTATTGGAGTTAGGATTCCAATCTATTTATTAAAAGTCCAATACTCTTTCTACTTCATCTTGATTCTAGTTTTAAAATTCGGAGAAACATGATTAAGCAAACAAGAGTATGGAAATCATTCCAAACATGTGGTATTATCTTTTGGATGTGTTCTGATTAAGACTGATAAATTTTTAAGCTACATGTGCTATTTATGGATATTGGGTACACTTCCCATTTGGCATGTAGGAAGAAGACTTGCAACTTTCCACAACCCTCTGAGCATTTTTAAATTTCTACAGTGTTTCTTTTCTCCACAGTCAGCTGCTGTCTTGGTTCATTCTTGGCTCATCCTATTCATGTCTTATGGTAGAACAATGCTACTAAATGCCAATGAGTTTTCTCTATGATTAAAGGCTAATCTCCTGGACTGTTGATGCATGTAATCATAATCCTTTGAAATCTTCCAGAAGTTTGCCAATTTCAACTGGATGAGGCATTATTCAATAGCCCATGATCCAATTGACATGAAAATTGGATCACTACTACAAAGTGATTAAAAGAAAAAAACAGATCCAAGAAAGATTTAGTCAACTACAGAGGTAAACTTTACATCTAGAGATTAAAGTTAGATATAATTATTATAGAATAATTAAAATTCTGAGTGACAGTTAATAATAGAGTTGAATATGAATGTGTTCAAAACTCACTTGAAGTAATTAACTACAATTACATCTCAATGGACTTCAGATATTAAGTATTATTGCTTAGTCCAACTAGATAATAGTGCTTCAACCACTAACCTTGCGGAGTTGTTATAAGGAAAACACTTTGTAAGCTATACCATGTTTTACTGTTATTATCCACTGAAGTCCTACTCTGATGCCTCAGCATGGCTCGGAGGTGACTGAGCTCTCAAAGCCTATGCTAACAGAGTTTAAGCTCTGGCAGGTTGCACCATGTTGGAAAGGCTTAGCAAAGTGCCAGAAAAATATGCTAACTGCTTTCCTGAGACAAGTCTTGCTATGTATAGGCTCATCTCCATTAGACCGGCCACTTGGGGAGGATTTCTTTGACCATGGTAACTTAGGAAGCCACAAAAAAATACAAAATGGCCCTTAATATTGCATAGGTTCTACCACTTCTGTATTGACAGAGGACTAGAAAAGGGGACCAAATATGCTAAGAATCCCATCATTTTAGATTATAAACAATAAAAGCAATAGGAAACCAGAATGTGAGATAATTACTACTAAAAATATAGCATTTATGTAGTGCTTTGAGGTTTGAAAAGAACTTTACAAATATTGTCTCACTTTATCTTCACATCAATCCTGGGAGGTAGATACTATTATTATCCCCATTTTCCAGAGGAGGAAACTGATATAGACAAGAGACTTGCCCTGGGTCAGACAGCTAGTAAGAGGCTAGATTTGAACTCTGGTCTTTATGATTCCAAGCCCAGCACTCTAGAACTGAATCATGTCAATCTTACACAATACTTTTCCCTGCAAAGTAAGAATGTTCTATATCATCTGCTCATGTTGTCTTTTACTATTTCCATGTCTATGCCCATAACAGTCCTTCCATATACCTAGAATGGCCATTTCTGTGTATTGAAATCAGTTGCTTTCCTCAAGGCCCAAAAGTCACTTTGTCCTCCTCCAGGAAACCTTCCCTGATCATTCCAGGTGAAAGTAATCACTCAGCTCAAAATTCTCCTAGCACTTTGCCTAGACTCTTCTTGTCATTTATCTCACTCCTCTTTGAATCCTAGTGACAGGCTTACAGACCTTTTGCCTGCAAGATTGAAAGCTCTTTGAAAACAGGGTATACAGTTTTATCTCCAGTGCTTAGCATAGTGCTTTATGCCAGGTAAGCATTTAGTAAATGTTTGCTGAATTAAATTGATCTACAATGAACTGAACTGAATTTCCAAACTGAAACATTTAGACAATTCTTTTTAATTTTTCTTAATATTATAGAATCCTTATCCCTTGATCATAGAATCTGTCAGGGTATTAAGGGTCACCCTATTTTTCGGAGCTAAGGCCCAGCAAGCAAGCTGTGCCTCAGCTTGGCATAGCAACAATCCTTTGCACTCACCCTCTGGATGATCTCACTGTCTGGCAAAATGACATAACTATTGTATTACTTTGACCAGCACCAGGTCTGAGATCAGACAAGCATTGGACAAGTACCGTGTTCTGGTCATGAAGCCCTGCTATGAATCAAACTTATCACATTGTTGCTGTTCCCCCTCATTGTCAGGGCTATGCTGGATTGGTATAAGTATTAAGTATACAGCCATTGGTATAAGTGTTGAGATTTAGCCACACAAAAGCGGGTCTCCACCCCCATACTAAGTGTGGTCCCGGAAGACATGTTCTCGTTTACAAGCTGTTTTCCTCACTGTGAAACTAAATTTCTGTTTGATTCCTGACACTCCTATTTCTAGCCTCCTCTGTTCAGTTCTGGCTATCTACAAGTTAGAGGCTGGTTCTGTCCCGTTGACAAATCTTAAAGCTAGAAGGTGCTTTTAAGACTCTTTTGTTCCTGCCTCTCCAATTACAGTTAGATACTTCTTTTTTGATATTCAAATTCAAATCTTTTCAGAACTTGGCCCCTTTGTACCTTTCCAGGCTTCTTACACATTACCCCCACTCTATAATCCAGACCTACTGGCTGCTCACTCTTCTACTTCTTGAGGACAGGGACTGGCTTTTACTTTTATTTTGTATCTCCAGTATTTAGCATGGTGCCTGGTACAGAATAGGTGCTTAATAAATGCTTATTGACTAATAAACATTTCCCATCTTTGCACTGACTGTCCCCCATGCCTGGAATGTACACCCACCTCATCTATGCCTTGTGAAATCCCTGATTTCCTTCAAGATTCAGCCCCAGTGCCACCTTCTACATGAAAGCATTCCTAATCCCTCCCGCTGCTAGTGCATGCCCTCTGAAATTACCTTATATCCATTTCAAACATATCATATATTTACTTATGTTTGTACATGTTGTCTTCTCCATTAGAACATAAGTTCCAAGGGGCAGCTAGGTGGTGCAATGGATAGAGTACCGGCCCTGGAGTCAGGAGGATCTGAGTTCAAATCCAGCTTCAGACACTTGACACTCTTTTCAGTATCCTGCAAGATCAATAACTCTTGTGAAAAATTATTTAGCAATCCATCACTGTATAAATCTCAGATTTCCATTAAAGGGGAAGAGAGGCAAAATGTTTGCATAGAAGGTTCTTATTGATAAAATTTCTTTCCTTCTATAATCTAAGTTTTCACCTACTGCCTTTTGTATTTAGTATTATATTTAGAGTTCCATACTCAGTCATTTGAATTTATCAATTTTTCTTCTCATTTCTCTTATTTATTTATTTATTTATTTAGTTTTACTTTTCAACATTCACTTCCATAAGATTTTGAGTTCCAAATTTTCTCCCCATCTCTTTCCTCCTCCCACCCCAAGACAGCATATAATTTTTATATAGACTCTACTTATGCATTCATATTAAACCTATTTTCACATTAGTCAAGTTGTAAAGAAGAACTAGAACCAATGGGAGAAACCACAAGAAAAAAGAAACAAAGAGAGAAGAGAGAGAGCAAATAATATGCTACGATATGCATTCAGATTCCATAGTTCTTTTTCTTGATGTGGACATTTTCCATCTTGAGTCTTTTGGAGTTGTCTTAGATCCTTGCATTGCTAAGAAGGGCTAAGTCTATCAAAGTTAGTCATTGCACAATGTGGCTGTTACTGCATACAAGTTTCTTCTGGTTCTGCTCATTTCACTCTGCATCAGTTCATATAAGTCTTTTTCTAAAGTCCGCCTGCTCATCATTTCTTATAGTACAATAGTATTCCATTACATTCATATACCACAACTTGTTCAGCCATTCCCCAACTGATGGGCCTCCCCTCAATTTCCAATTCTTTGCCACCACAGAAACAGCTCCTATAAATATTTTTGTATATGTGGGTCTTTTTCCCATTTGTATAATCTCTTTGGGATACAGACATAGAAGGAGTATTGCTAGGTCAAATGGTATACACATTTTTATAGCCCTTTGGGCATAGTTGCAAATTGCTCTCCAGAATGGTTGGATCAGATCTCAACTCCGTCAACAATGCATTAGTGTTCCAATTTCCCACATCTTCTCCAGCATTTATCATTTTCTGTTTTGTCATGTTAGCCAATCTGAAAGGTATGATGTGGCACCTCAGAGTTGTTTTGATTTGCATTTCTCTAATCAACAGTGACTTAGAGAATTTTTTATGTGACTATAGATAACTTTAATTTCTTCATCTGAAAACTGCCTGTTCATATCCTTTGACCATTTATCAACTGGGCAATGACTTGTTTTCTTATAAATTTGACTCAGTTCTTTATATATTTTAGAAATGAGGCCTTTATCAGAGACATTGGTTGTAAAAATTCTTTCCCAGTTTTCTGCTTCCCTTCTAATCTTGGTTGCATTGCCTTTGTTTATGCAAAAACTTTTCAATTTAATGTATTAATTTATCATTTAGAGGACTTCCACTTCTGGGAGCCAAGATGGCGGAGTAAAAAGGTAGTACCTCTCATCCTCCCCTATCAACCTCTGAAAACCCAGAAAATATCACCCCAGAAAAAACCCTGGAACAGCTGAACCAGAAGAAAGATGGGGTGCAGCAGCACAGCAGCCCAGGTAGCTAGAGGGATTAACGGGAAAGGCCCCTCTTACCCTGGGGGAAGGGGAGCAGTACGAAACAGGAGTCGCCCAGACAGCTAGTGGAAAGACCCACTTTAGCATACCAGGAGAAGATTCTGGTGCCTAGGCATTCTACAGCAAATGGGTCTCCCAATGCCTCAGCAAAAATAAGGGAAGCAGCACTAGAAAGGGCCCCAGGCAGATAAGCACCCGGCAGCATTCGTCTGAAAGGAGCTGAAGAAAGCAACCTAGAGTTGCCAAAAAGTTTCAGCCTTGTTGATTCCAGCCCAACACCAGGTAAGCTGTCAGAACCCTACAGGCTCCAACTGCCAACCAGGAGGAGATCCCGAAGCCCAGGTGGTCGAGCAGGCAAACGCCAACAGCTGTACCTCCGAGTGCCTCAGTGAGGGTGGGCTAGCTGGTGGAAACCAGCTCAGAAAACCACCAGGTGCCTCAGCATTCTATAGCAAAGAAGTCTCCCAGTACCTCAACAGAAATAAGGGAGGCAGGACTGCAAGGGGCCCCAGGCAGATAAATACCTGGCAGCACTTATTTAAAAGGAATTAAACAAAGCTAAAGGAAAGGAAAAGCAGGCAACCTAGATTTACCTGAAAGTCCCAGCCTTGCTGATTCCAGCCCAACACCACATAAAGCTGCCGGAAACCTACAGCCTCCAATTGCCAACATAAGAGTCCCCAGCACACAAAGCCAGTGACCAAGACCTAGGCTCCCAACACAAGAAGCTTGGGTCAGTGCCCTCTGCTCCCCATCAGGAGAGCTTAATCTCTTTAAAGGTCAGGGAATAAAGAAACACCATGAGTAAAAAGAAACGTACTATAGATTCCTATTATGAGAAGAGTGAAGATCAAGACAGAAATTCTGAAGAGGACAACACTGTCATCAAACCCACATCTGCAACATCAAAAGGGAATATGAACTGGTCTGAATCCCAAAAAGCCTTCTTGGAAAAACTCAAGAAGGATTTTAAAAGTCAAATGAGAGAGGTAGAGGAGTCCTTTAAAAGTAAAATTGGCCAATTGGAAAAAAAGTACACTGAAGAAAACCAGTCCCTAAAACACACAATTGGCCAATTGGAAAAAAAGTACAATGAAGAAAATAAATCCCTTAAAAATACAATTGACCAATTGGAGAAGAAAGTACAAAATCTAATAGAAAAAAACAATATGTTAAAAGTTAGAATTGAACAAATGGAAACTAATGACTCTATGAGAGAGCAAGAATCAGTCAAACAGAAACAAAAAAATGAAAAAATAGATGAAAACTTAAAATACCTCATGGGTAAAACAGCTGACCTGGAAAATCAATCCAGGAGAGACAATTTAAACATTACAGGCCTACCTGAAAGCCATGATGGAAAAAAGAGCCTGGACAATATCCTCCAGGAAATCATAAAGGAAAACTGCCCTGAAGTCCTAGAACCTGAAGGTAAAATAACTATAGAAAGAATCCATCACTCCCCGCCTGAAAGAGATCCCAAATTGAAAACACCAAGGAATATAATAGCTAAATTCCAAAATTACCAGATAAAAGAGAAATTACTGCAAGCAGCCAGAAAGAAACAATTTAAATATCATGGAACCACAGTCAGGATTACACAGGACCTTGCAGCCTCTACATTAAAAGACCATAGGGCATGGAACATGATATTCCGTAAGGCAAAGGAGCTTGGAATGAAGCCAAGGATTAACTACCCAGCAAAAATGAGCATGATTTTTCAGGGAAGGAGATGGATATTCAACAAAATAGGGGACTTCCAAATGTTCCTGATAAAAAGACCAGAGCTCAATAAAAAATTTGATCTTCAAGTACAAGATTCAAGAGAGACATAAAAAGGTAAATGGGACAGAAAGATACAATATGTTGTTAATAAGGGCAAAATGTTTACATCCCTACAAGGGAAGATGACACTGGCAACTCTTGAGAACTGTATTATTATTACACCATGTTAAAGGAGTATACATAAAGGGGGTGGATATAAGTTGACTTTGATGTAATGAGAAAAAAATAATTTAATCAAGTGGGTTAAATGGATCCAAGTAAGTGGATTAGTCTGAGCTAAGAAAATGTACTAAGAAAGGAGGAGGCAGACAAGGGCAAATTACATTACAGGAAAAGACACAAAAACCTATTAGAACAGAGGTAAAGAAGGGAGGGGGATGAGCACTGTTTGAACCTTACTCTCATCAGATTTGGCTCAAGAAGGGAATAATATAATCAGTTAGGTATCAAAATCTAACTTGTACTATAGGTAGTATGAGGGGAAAGGGGAAAGAAAAGGGAGGGGGCATAGAAGGGAGGGAAGAAGTAATAAGGGTAAAGGGGAAGAAAGGGGAAAAGGGTAATAGAAGGGAGGTGGGACCCAAGGAGGTGCTGGTCAAAAGCAAAACACTAGTGAGAGGGGGGAAAGGAGAAAGGAGAAAGAAAAGCATAAATGGGGGGAGAAGGTTGGAGAAAAAGGCACAGATAGTAATCATAACTGTAAATGTAAATGGAATGAACTCTCCCGTAAAACAGAAGCATATAGCAGATTGGATTAAAAATCATAATCCTGGGGGCAGCTAGGTGGAGCAGCGGATAGAGCACTGGCCCTGAAGTCAGGAGGGCCTGAGTTCAAATCCAGCCTCGGACCAAACACTTGACACTTACTAGCTGTGTGACCCTGGGCAAGTCACTTAACCCCAATTGCCTAAAAACAACAACAACAAAAAAAACATAATCCTACAATATGTTGTTTACAGGAAACACATTTGAAAAAGAGTGACACATACAGGGTAAAGGTAAAAAGCTGGAGCAAAATATATCATGCTTCAGCTGAAGTAAAAAAAAGCAGGGGTAGCAATCCTGATCTCAGACAAAGCAAAAGCAAAACTAGATCTTATCAAAAGAGATAAGGAAGGAAACTACATCCTGCTAAAAGGCACCATAGACAATGAAGTAATATCATTACTAACCATATATGCATCAAATGGTATAGCATCCAAATTCTTAGAGGAGAAGTTCAGGGAGTTACAGGAAAAAATAGACAGCAAAACTATACTAATGGGGAACCTCAACCTCCTCCTCTCTGAACTAGATAAATCTAACCACAAAATAAACAAGAAAGAAGTTAAGGAGGTGAATAGAACATTAGAAAAGTTAGGTATGATAGACCTATGGAGAAAACTGAATGGGGATAGAAAGGAATATACTTTTTTCTCAGTGGTACATGGCACATACACAAAAATTGACCATGTACTAGGGCATAAAAACCTCACAATCCAATGCAGAAAGGCAGAAATAGTAAATACATCCTTTTCAGATCATGATGCAATAAAAATTATATGTAACAAAGGACCAAGGAAAGATAGACTAAAAAATAATTGGAAACTAAATAATCTAATCCTAAAAAATAATTGGGTCAAAGAACAAATCATAGAAAC